TTCAAGGAGAACCACAAACCACTGCTCAAGGATATAAGAGAGGACACAAACAGATGGAAAAACATTCCACGCTCATGGTTAGAAAGAATCAATATTGTGAAAATGGCCATACTGCCCAAAGCAATTTATAGATTCAATGCTATCCCCATCAAGCTACCATTGACTTTCTTCACAGAATTGGAAAAATACAACTTAAACATATGGAACCAAAAGAGAGCCCACATAGCCAAGACAATCCTAAGCAAAAACAACAAAGCTGGAGGCATCACGCTACCTGACTTCAAACTATACTACAAGGCTACAGTAATTGAAACAGCATAGTACTGGTACCAAAACAGACAATGGAACAGAACAGAGGCCTCAGAAGTAATGCCACACATCTACAACTATCTGATCTTTGACAAACCTGACAAGCAATGGGGAAAGGATTCCCTATTTAATAAATGGTTTCAGAAAAGGGCCTAGCCATATGCAGAAAGATGTAACTGGATTCCTTTCTTACACTTTAACAAAAATTAATTCCAGATATATTAAAGAATTAAACATAAGACCTAACACCATAAATACTCTTGAAGAAAACCTAGGCAATACCATTCAGGACATAGGAATAACCAAAACACCAAAAGCAATAGCAACAAAAGCCAAAATAGACAAACGGGATCTAATTAAACTTAAGAGCTTCTGCACAGCAAGAGAAAATCATTAGAGTGAACCAGCAACCAACAGAATGGGAAAAAAAATTTGCAATCTATCCATCTGACAAAGGGCTAGTAGCCAGAATCTACAAAGAACTTAAACAAATTTAAAAGAAAAAACACACAATCCCATCAAAAAGTGGGTAAAGGATATGAACAGACACTTCTTAAAAGAAGACATTAATGCAGCCAACAAACATATGAAAAAATGGTCATCATCACTTGTCATTGGAGAAATGCAAATCAAAACCACATTGAGATACCACCTCACACCAGATAGAATGGCAATCATTAAAAAATCAGGAGACAACAGATGCTGGAGAGCATGTGGAGAAATAGGAACACTTTTACACTGTTGGTGGGAATATAAATTAGTTCAACCATTGTGGAAGACAGTGTGGCGATTCCTTAAGGAACTATAACTAGAAATACCATTTAACCCAGCCATCCCATTACTGGATATATACTCAAAAGATTATAAATCATTTTATCATAAAGACATATGCACACATAAGTTTATTGGGGCACTGTTTACAATAGCAAAGACTTGGAACCAACCTGAAATGCCTATCAGTGATAGACTGGACAAAGAAAATGTGGCACATGTACACCATGAAATACTATGCAGCCATAAAAGGGATGAATTCGTGTCCTTTTCAGGGACATGGATGAAGCTGGAAACCATCATTCTCAGCAAACTGACACGAAAATATAAAACCAAACATCGCAAGTTCTCACTCATAAGTGGGTGTTGAATAATGAGAACACATGGACACAGGGAAGGGAATATCACACATCAGGGATTGTTGGGGGGCTGGTGGGGCTAGAGGACGAATAGCAGGGTGTAGGGGGACTGGGGAGGGCTAATATTAGGAGAAATACCTAATGTAGATAACAGGGTGATGGATACAGCAAACTACCATGGCACGTGTATACCTATGTAACAAAACTGCATAATCTGCACATATACCCCAGAACTTAAAGTATAGTAAAAGATAATAATAATAAATAAAATAAAGAACTTGTGTTGTTCTGTTGCAGTAATCTGTTGGTATTGTTTTTATTTCATAGCAATTACACTTAAGCCTTTTTAGTTCCTTAAAGCACAAAAGTAGCATTTTCAAGATCTCAGAGTAACAAATAGAGTTTGGAGATATGGTTTGAAAGAAATAATAAGGTAAAATCTAAATAATTTAGGTCTAAAATAATTATGACAGCCATACATTATGATTTATTACAACACCACAATCATCCTTACAAAATGCTTTATTATTTTATTGGTAATAAAAAATCTTAATGATTTATTCTAACTGTTACCTACTAGTAGTAGCAATAAGTACTTAATCATAATCACTTATGGAGTATAAACTCTTTGAAGATAAGGATTGCTTTATTTACATTTATATCTAGTATAGTGCCTACTCTCAATTCTGTACTCTTCCAGCATTGAATGTCTGGCTCTTAGATTACTTATTATAATCTTCCTTTATGGTGGCTAATTGGTTAACTGTCAATCTCTTCTAGATTACAAGCAGAAATTGGTCAGTCATTTCCAGTTGAGCAGAAAGAGCTGAGCTGAGGAAGAAAACAACACAGCCATGAAGAAATTGTGTAACCAGAGAAGTGACACACTTTGCAGAAAGTGACCAATATGAGACCCTTTAGCATACTGTGTAAACTTCCTGGGTATAAGAATAGCTAAAGAAAAGACACGTTTTGGTTCAGGTTCTACAGTAGAATGTATCTGAGGGGCCCCAAGACTAATGAAGGCTGTCTTTACTTGCCTGTTTACATGCCTGTATTTCCTCTAGACTGTAAGCTCTAAAGTAATAACTGTGTCTTTTCGTCTATACATCCTCTGTACTTACTGTCTGGTAGAGGACTTTTGGCCCCGTTCCCCAGCCATGTGGAAAGGGCCTAATTCCCGATAAAGAAGGCCCTTCCTCCCCCACAGGGAGGGTCCCTTATCTCACTCTATCCTGGCCGGACCCAAGACCAGCAACCTTCCCGCCCAGCGGCCCACTGAACCAATCACCATCCGCCCCACCAGCTCTCCCGTAACCTCCCGTCCCACAAGCTCCCGCCCGGCAGGCTTCCTGCCCAGCAATCAACCTAGCCAATTACTACCTGCCAGGTCAGCTCTCCTACCGCCCCAGGCCCTCTGTCCCTATAAAGTCAACCGAACAAAGAAAGCGCGCGCGATTCTTCCCTTCCCGCTTGAGTCGCCCGGAGATCCCAATAAAGTCGGTACCGGTCACCATGCGTCCTGCCTCGAGTCTATTGAGTGCCTGCCTCCGTGGGTCGGGGTCCCACAGCCAGGGTCGCACACTTACTTCAAGTGTTTGGCACCCCGTGGCTTTTCAAAAATGTTATTTGAGGCTGAATAAATTCCTAGAATGCCTGGCCATTTAAATGGAATCTTTCTTCCTAAAAGCTAGGTTATATTGTCAAAGCTATGCTGGTATGGCATGTTCATGTGTGAGCAAGTACAACAATCTGAAAACATCTACTGAAATGCCAAAAATGTAGACAATTCTCCAACTCACTAGAACCTACAGTCCCTTGATTCTCCTATCTGCTCACTCTCCTTCACCCTCTTCATAGCCTTTGTCCCTCCTTTCCACGCCCAGATTCCGTGGTCAATCGTTGTAATCACACCCTTTCAAACTTCCTCAATTTCATTACCTCCTCTGTTTTACTTGCTTGATTAAACCACAAGTCTGCCTAAATTCATCTTCTTGCCCACTCCATGCCTCTGCCTATACCATTAAATATAATTGGAATAATATACAAAATTACAGAAATTAATTTATTTTAAAATGCCTAGTTGTTCAGTTCATGAGGCCATTCACAGTCCCAGGCATTTATATTCTTGCTCATGGCATTCACTTGCATCATTTTCCTTTTCTTCTTTTCCTTAAAATTTCAAAAACTCCCCCCAGTACTTGCTCACAACTGAAGACTATATTAACAACTTCCTGAAAAAAACAAAACATTCAAGAAAGAACTTTCACAAACTCCAACACATTTATTCTCATCCACCATCTGAGACTATTTACTCTTTCTTCTTTTACTATGGGTAAATTATTAATTCTTCTTACTAAAACCCAGACTTTGCTCATTCTTTTACCACTCATTCAAAAAAATTTGTCTTTTATTCTCTCATTTCCTTCTCAAAGATCATTCACATCAGCATGCAAATAAGCTATTATTTTTCCCATTTAAAAAATAACCTCTTGATTCTACTTCCTCTAGCTATTCCCCATTTCTCTGCTCCTTTTTACAACAACAACAAAAAAAAACAAAACTGTAGTCTAGAGATATTAGCACAAGTTTGATACCTCAGTTTAACTCTTTCCCTACTCTCCTGAACCACATCAATCAGGTTTCTGCATTTACCACTCCACTACAAATAATCTTGTCAATGTCCCAGCTGATCTCCATGATATGGGTGAATTCTTAGTTTCTGTTTTACTTGATCCATCAGCAGCATTAGGTTTGAAACACATTTTTCCCTTGGCTTCCAAGAACCCACACTTTCTTGGTTTTCCTGCTATGACACTGGCTACTCCTATTGTCTCACCTTTTCTGGTTCTGCCTCATTTCTGACTCTTTACTCAGTTCCTTGGTGATCTTACCCAGTCTAATGGCTTTAAATACACTAATGACACCCAAACTCACATCTCCACCCCCTGCCTCTCGCCTCTGAACACCAAATGCCTATACCGATGCTCCTCAATTTATGATGACAGGGTTATGTCCCGATAAGCCCATTATAATCTAAAATGTCCTGAGTGGAAAATGCACTGAAAATATCTTAAGTTGAAAATATCCCAGGTTGTTACACCTAGCCCATGGAACATCATAGCTCAGCCTACCCTACCTTAAACATACTCAGAACATTTACATTTGCCTACAGTTGGGCAAAATTTAAGAAATAAAATCTATCGCATTCAATGTCTCTCTTATAATAAAGCATTCAATATCTCAATTTATTGAGTACCATACTCAAAGCAAAAAACAAAATGATTATATAAGTACTTGAAGTATTGTTCTTACTGAATGTGTATCACTTTCACACTGCTGTTCAGCTGAAAAATTGTAAGTTGAACCATAAGTAAGTCAGGGACCATCTGTGTATAATTCCTACTGACATCTAAATTTGTCTAATAAACATCACAAAACAACCTGTCCAACAAAATGTATGATCCTTCCTCTAGCCAAACCTACACAACCTGCAGTCTTTCCTATGTCATGCAATAGAGACCATTTTTTCCAGTTTCTCCAGCACGAGATGTCGAAATCATTCCAACTCTTCTCTCTTTGTCATATTGTTTCCAATATGTCTGCAAATTGTGTCAACTATCCCTTCAAAACATATACAGAACATGATCACTTTTTGCTATCTCCCCTCCTAGCACTGTGGTCCAGGCAGCCATAATGGATTGCCTGGATTATGGAAACAGCCTCCTGACTGTTCTTTCTGCTGCCATTCCTCCCTTCTTCAGAAAATTTTCAGCACAGCAGCCAAAATGATTCTTTAAAATGTCGTGGTTTTGTGTCTCCCAGAATGAAGGCCACAGCCCTTATAATGGCTTATAAGGTTCTATACCATCTACCCCATTTCTTACCCCAGTAGACCTCATGTACTACCTTCTCTCATGTTCACATCTCTCCAGCCACAGTAACCTCCGTGCTCTTTCTGGGACACAACAGACTTTTCAGTCTTAGGACCTACACTTGTGGAGTTCCTACATCTAAGAATTTTCTTCTCCATGTAGCTCTGCATGGCTCAGTCTCTCATTCCTTCCAGGTCTTCTCATTTAGGTCTTACCTGGCTTCCTTAGATGAAGTACAATCTCCATTCTCTCCTCTTCCCTCTATATTTTTTATCACCATCTAATAAATATTCCACATAATTTTCTTATTCATTTTTTGTCTCTTTTATCCTAAAATATAAGCTTCATGAGGTCAAGAAATTGATGTGTATTTTGTCACTAAGCACCTTGAACAGGGACGGGCTTGTAGTAGATGATTAGCAAATATTTGTTGCACAAAACACGAAAAAGATGGCAAGCAAAAGCAATGACAGAGAGAAATACTGACTGATTTCCTAAATACTGAAAAACCTAATGACAGGATGAAAAAAAAAATGTTTGCAGATTACTGATTTTAACCAGCAGGAAGCTCATTTTGGTCGGAGAAGTAAAAAGCATTCAGTGTATTATTTTGCCCCTTAGTGGAGAAGTTTCTGTAAATGCAGTTAATACAAGGCTAGAATTGTCCCCACAGGGCAGATCCTCACCTCTTTTTTGACTCTTTATAACTGACTTAAAGGAAGCAAAGTGACCCATATTATGTAGCTCTTTTAGTAGATGCTCAATAGATGTTCATAGACTGAGCAGAAAGTAATGACTTATCAGTGAAAGCGTTTGATATCACTTCCTGGACTCAGGGAGAAATATAGTGAGTAACTAAGATACATATTTTATACATTTTTTTTTTTTTTTTTTGAGACAGAGTCTCTCTCTGTCACCCAGGATGTAATCCAGTGGCACAATCTCGGCTCACTGCAACCTCTGCCTCCAGGGTTCAAGCAATTCTCCTGTCTCAGCCACCTGAGTAGCTGGGATTACAGGCATGCACCACCACGCCTGGCTAATTTTTGTATTTTTAGTAGGAACAGGGTTTCACCATATTGGTCAGGCTGGTCTGGAGCTCCTGACTTCAGATGATCCATCCGCCTTGGCCCTCCAAAATGCTGGGATTATAGGCATGAGCCACTGCATCTGGCCTACACTAGCAGACTTCTAAGCACAACTCTACATTCTTTGATTTTTAAATTTTCTTTTAAAAACAAAACACAATCACAAATAGCAGATTTTAGGGGTGGCCTCTTCTCTCCCCTATATTCCTACTCTCAGACTTCATAAGAGAAACCTTTCTTTTCTTTTATTCATGTTTCAACTCTCAGCCTGGTACAAAGCTATGACAAAAACAAAAATGTATTCTGAAAGCATCCATTATAAGATTTATAAAAGTAAAATTTCAACAGAACTCAAATATTCACTGTAATGTTTCACACTGGATCAATGGAAATGTTATCAAGGCCTCAATATCTTCTGATTACAGAAAAGCAGAATGAATTCACAACTCATCTCAGTTCAACAACTAATATGTATGTATTAGTTAACGATTTTCCCCTGGTTCTCCTCCTTTATAAACAAAAATTTCCCTTTAAGCATGATCTATTTGTGGAAGTATTCTAGCTTTAGCAATTTTCATGAGGCCTTTGTAAAAATGTTGCTGTATGTGAGTAAAAGGTGATACATTACATAATTGGGTATCTGGAGCATTGGACAGACTGAATTTTATTTAAACAATTAAATTTTTATGCTTTATCCATAAGTGTGGATAACATTAAAACTTAGCCTGAGAACTCTTGAAACAGTAGTGAGGTTTCACTTTTAATTGAATCCTATATAATACTTATTCTCTTGAGATCAATGCATTTTAACCCTGATATACTCTATATTTGGCAAGGGAAAATAGAGGTCTTTAGAGATCTTAGCAATAGAAAATTCAGTCCTATCAAAGATCTTTAGTTCAATTTAATATGATATATTCTATTTATATTCACTGAGCAATGATTATTTGTTGAATATATTACCATCAATCTATGGCATGGTCTCCAGTGTTTTGGAACTTACAGTCTTTCTTGACCTATGTCTGCATGCATAAGAGAAAATCAGAATTCTACCTCAGATTATAAGTAAATGGTAGCAAATCTGCCTGTTGACAAAAGAAACTATAAAACTGGACATAAATATATAAGACAACTATTTTCGAACTGCAATCACTGAGAGAAAAAACAAAGCACAAGATGATCACCACTTTTGACTAGTTTCCTATTTGGGGGCATTTTTCAGACTACTTCTGAGGCAGGTGAAGCCCAAGGCGTGGCCAGTGGTCTCACTAAGCAGAGGGGAGAAACATAAGAGTTTGGAACTGCAAAAGCAGCAAGAAATTCTGGGATGGAGTACAAGAGAGGAGGAAGATGTACAGAAATGGGGCCCAAAAACTCTACCCGGGAGGTCCTTGGCAAAAAGATTGGAAGCAGATATGTAGAAAGAGATACCACAAAGCCTAACAGAGGGTGGAGGTTGTGGGGCTCAGAGCTGTCCCACAGAAGAGATGCAACAGGTCTTCCAATGCTGGGAGACATTTGACCACTATTACACCCTAACTGTGTACTGCAGTCATTCAGTTGGAGCTCCAGAAAGGACATGTCTAAAGAATAAGAACCACTTTAAAGTAGGAATATGCCCTAAGACTAAGGAAAAAATAGAGCAGCTCTAAAATAAGAACAAAAAAATAAAACCAAGCCTTAAATAAACAAACGGATTTGCTATTAACAACCCAACAAAACAAAATTAATCTTTTTTTTTTTTTTTTTTTTTTTTTTTTTTTTGTAAAAAATAGACAACATAGGCTGGGTGCAATGGCTCACACCTGTAATCCCAGTACTTTGGGAGGCTGAGGAGGGTAGATCACATGGTCAAGAGATCGAGACCAACCTGGCATTCAACACAGTGAAATGCCGTCTCTACTAAAATACAAAAATTAGCTGAGCGTGGTGGTACTCACCTGTAGTCCCAGCTACTCACTCAGGAGAATGAGGCAGGAGAATTGCTTGAATCTGGGAGACAGAGGTTGGCAGTGAGCCAAGATTGCACCACTGCACTCTAGCCTGATGCCTGGCAACAGAGCAAGACTCATCTCAAAAAAAAAAAAATAGACAACATAATGAAGACAAAATAACCACCACAATGTCCAGCATAAAATTTGAAAAAATACTAAATCTGAGCAGCAGGAAAATGTGTACTAAAATTGAGAAAAATGCTGCCAATAGAAACAGAATTCCAAATGATTTGCAGTTTGCAATAAGCAGAGAAGAACTTTAAAGGGCTATTAAAAATGTACAAAGACACACCAAAAAACGTGGGTATAAAGAATAAACAGATAAGAAATGTCTTCAGAGAGATGGAAACTCTAAGTATTCAATTATTTCCAGAACGTGTTAAGTATATATCTCTGATATGGTTTGTTTGTGTCCCTGCCCAAATCTCTACTGCAATTGTATCATCTCCCAGAATTCCCATGTGTTGTGGGAGGGACCCAGGGGGATGTAATTGAATAATGGGGGCTGGCCTTTCCCATGCTATTCTTATGATAGTGAATAAGTCTCACAAGATCTGATGGGTTTATCAGGGGGTTCTGCTTTTGTTTCTTTTTCATTTTTCTCTTCCCACCATGTAAGAGGCAACTTTTGCCTCGCACCATGATTTTGAGGCCTCCCCAGCCATGTGGAACTGTAAGTCCAATTAAATATCTTTTGTTCCCAAGTTTGGGTATGTCTTTATCAGCAGCATGAAAGTGAACTAATACAATCTCAAATAAAAATGTATTTATTGGTTTAATAGCAGATTGGAGACTGTAATGAATAAGTCAGTGAATTCAATGACAGATCAATTAAAAATTATCCAGTCTGAAAAACAGCAAAAAAAAAAAAAGCCCCATAAAAATATTACTAGAGTCTTAGAGACTTCTAGGAGCAACAGCAAGCAATCTGACCAATGTACAACAGGAGGTCCATAAGAAAAGGAAAAAGTGAATGCAGCAGAAAAAAAAAATGAACGGCGACCATGTGTTTCTAAAACTAGTGAAAACTTTAAGTTATGGATCCAAAAAACATAGGAAACTTCAAGCAGGATAAGCATAAGGCTAACCACACCTAGGTACAACATAATCAAATTGTGATAACCAAAGATAAAGAGAAAGCATATATAAAGTAGTCATTAAAAATACTCATTACATACAGAGATACAAGTAATGGCTGAGTTCTCATCAGAAAAATGGAGGCCAATATAATTAGACAGAAAATATAATTTCTAGTGTTGACAGTATAGTAGAGAAATTATAGTTTATGATTTATTGTATATTTCAAAATAGCTAGAAGAGAAAAATTATAATGTTCCCAACAAAAAGAAAAGATAAATGTTTGAGGTGATGGATATCCCAATTATCCTGATTTAATCATTGCACAATGTATACGGGTATTGGAATACCACATGTACCCCCAAATATGTATAACATATATATTAATAAAAAATTTGAAAAACACATTCACAATCTAATTCAAAAATAAAAATGCAGGCCTGAAGAATATGAAATTATATCTTCAAAGAGCTAAAAGGAAAGAGAAATCATTTGCCAAAATTTTATTCACAGTGAAAAATATCCTTCACAATGAAGGTAAATTAAATACTTTTGCCGATTAGTGAAAAGAGAAAATCCATCTCCAGCACACCTGCACAACAAGAGGGGCTAATGGAAATGATTCCACATGGAACCATGAATCAACAAGAAGAAATGAAAAGCACCAAAAATGGTAAATATGTGGATGAATATAAATGATATCTCTCTCTTCTTCATTACTTTAAAAGATTACTAACTGCTTAAAATAAAAGTGAAACCTTTTACTTGGTGAGATTTATAAAGTACGAGGTAGTAAAACAGATGGTAACAATTGCATTAGGAACTGTGGAGTAAATAGAATTGCACCCTGGTAAGAGTCTCACCTATTACTCCAGGTGGGACAACAGTAGTTCTAGGAACACTATAATAATTTAAGAATGCATAGCCCCTAGTGAAATGACTAAAAATCACAATACTTGTGCTTCAGTAAGGATGACAACTGAGATCTAAGAAAACTGCCTCCAGATTGTCTTGAAGATATGCTCTGGCAAGTCAAATGAGATGACTTCACCAAATGATCAAGGGCCATCATTGTAGTGCTTTTGCATTAAATAGTTGATGTGGGTTTCTGGCCTCAAATTGTGTGTGGCCTACTCTCATGTTAAAAATAATGGTTGCAGTATTACTAATTATTTCAACTAACTGCCCTCCTAATTGCTTCCTGAGAGTGAAAACTGTCCAAAACAACTTAGAATGAGAGCCAAAGGGTCATTTTCTTTGGAGAAAAAAAAATATATATTGACAAACTATTTGTTTAATCTTTATACCAAGGTCTCAGGAAAGACTTTATATCAAGTCTTCAGGGAAAAAGACTAAAACAATAATTTCATATAGATTAATAAACTAAATACTATGTTATAGTGGCTATATAGATTTAACACTATTTTTAGAGGAATAAGGGGAATGGTAAGCCTTTCTCTTACGATGATGTTTTTCCTAAAAGATTGAAATACTGCATATTTTGGTTGCACAATGTTGTTCATATTCTTTAGCTTTTTTAGGGGGGGGGGATTAAGTCTCACTCTGTCACCCAGGCTGGAGTGCAGTGGCATGATCTCAGCTCACTGAAACCTCCGCCTCCCAGGTTCAAGCGATTCTCCTGCCTCAGCCTCCCAAGTAGCTGGGATTGCATGCGCGTGCCACCACACCAGCAAATTTTTTGTATTTTTGGTAGAGACGAGGTTTCACTGTGCTAGCCAGGATGGTCTTGATCTCCTGACCTCGTGATCCACTCTCCTCATCCTCCTGAAGTGCTGGGATTACAGGCGGGAGCCATCACGCCAGGACCTATTCATTAGCTATTTTTAGTAAAAGCAAGATTCGCTTTCTGAAGTGCTGTGCTTAGTGACATAATTCAAGCCTGGGGACCTGTAACATCAAAAGAAGTTCTGATATTTCTATTTAATTCTGGCCTTTTACTCACATTCTTTCATGTTTCCATTTGCAGCTAGTCTTTCATTTTTTCAGTGGTAATGAGAGAGATGAGTAGTTAGAATAAGTCTGTTAGTCAGACAAATAGGACGGCATTTGCCTTTGAGAGTACTTTTAATTTTCCCTTGTGCTGAGGTAAATCAGAAGCCTGTTAAGCCATGAAATGTTTTACAGTTCATTCATTTTTTCCCAAATATAATATACATTTTTCTAGGCAAGAAGCCCTTGCTTTAGAGAACTACGTTTTTCTGCGGTCCAATAAACCCTCGAATGCATTTGTTACCTGTGTTCATCCATTTTGCATTGCTATAAAGGAATACCAGAGACTGGGTAATTTATAAAGAAATGAAGCTTATTTGGCTCGCAGTTCGGTAGGCTTTACAAGCATGGTAGCAACATCTGCTCAGCTTTTGGTGAGGCTATTCTATTGTACAGAACCACACCAAACAGATTCATTTACCATTTTCCTCATCCAGTATGCAGACAATGCATGCTGCATAGATTCTGACCTCAACGATCTTACCATCATTGTAGGAGATGAACCTCACTCTGCACCAATCTAGACCCCTGTCCAATCCAGGATTCCTCCATCCTGAGTTGATCCCTATACAGTCCTAAAGCCTATTTTCTCTAACATTATTTTCATTGAATTATTTAAGGTAATTTGACCACATAACACACCAAAGTTTTGGTTTTATGAACATATACTTAAATGCAAAGTGAAAAGTCAACCATCATTATAATCCCCTATGTACTAAAAAATGTAGCCTTGCCTAAGGAAAGAGAGAGCTGGCCTTTGCCCTTGACTTCTGGAGGCAGCCTGTAAACCCTTGGAATGTCATGCCTGATAGGGGTGTCTTTGTTTGCCTGCTGGCCTTGGATATAACAATGTGATTTGCAGAGGGGGTTTTGGGTCACATAGTGTAAGCTTGATCTCTTGAGAGGCTGGAGATGGAGACCTAACGTGGGCAATTAACTGTGCTTACATAATGGAGCTCCAACAAAAACTCTGAACACCAACACCCCCATGAGCTTCCTGGCTGGCAATACTCAGCATAACAGACATCAATCCTGGGAAAGTAGTGCTGTCCATGATTCAATAGGTGAAGGACAAGTAGAAGCTCTGAGTTTGACACTTTCATCTGTATTCTTTTCCTAGACTGATTCTTTTCTTAACAAACTAGAGTAACAAACAATAGCTGTAATTGTAACAGCTTTTAGTAAATTCTCTGTATACTTCTCCCACACTTGCAATTAGTTTCAGAAGTGAGAATGGTTTTGTGGACTGTGCTCCCTCACACATCACCTCCCCTGTTTCTTCCATGCTTTCTAAGATCGTCACCTGGCTCTGACTTAATCCTGGCTTTTTCCTTAAAACAGTTCTTCCCTGAGAGCCATCTCAAATAGTGGCTGTTTCTTTCCCACATTCCTCAAGCCTCTGGATTCAGAGGTGGGATAGGTGTTCTCCATTTTCCTTATTTTTATTCTGGGCCATTCTCTTAGCTGTTTTAAGGAAACCTTCCATTTCTAATCTCATGCTATCACTTTCCACTACTCACTACCTTTCACTGTTGCAATCATCTGCCTCCCCAGGGTTTAGATCGCTTTCACTCCTCAAAGTTACCACCTGGCCTGGTAACTAATTACCTTATCTGTCTCAAGGATATGTAACTTTTGTTAGAAAAGTGCCATCCTGAACAAAACCCCAGACCTCACTCTGCACCAATCTAGATTCCTGTCCCAATCCAGGATTCCTCCATCCTGAGTTGATCCCTATATAGTCCTAAAGCCTATTTTCTCTAATGTTATTTTCATTGAATTCTTTAAGGTAATTTGACCACATAAGACACCAAAGTTTTGGTTTTATGTAACCCTGCATTATTTTTGGCTTCTTAATCCGTTTGTGGGACATATCCAGTGTCATAGAACCTCCCCTGGGAAAACTTTTGTGATCCATTCATTTTGATTGTTATATTTTACATAGTTTCAAATCAAACCCTGTTGCGTGCAGAGAGAGGTGCTTGTGGCTTGCAATTCAGAGATAAAAGACATAATTCCTATCCTCAGATCATGTCCAATTGGGGGATGGAGCGGAAACTTAAGTATATATTGGAGCACAATATGATACAAACTAAACTAAGGCTATGAGGGCACAAAGGAGAAAGTATTGATGGAACCTTTAATTGATGTCTGGCAGTGGAACAGACAAAATCCTGCAAGGAGTCACTAAGAAAAATGGAGGAAAGATAAGGGTGTGACCTTCAGCTTTAAGAGAAAATTTAGTCCCACTAATTGGAGCACAGCCAGAAGAGAGGAACCTGAAAGTGGAGGAAATGAAGTAAAATCATGTTAGCCAAAGAAGTGGAGCCTTGTCTGAGAAGAAGAAGACATGGATGGACATGATAGCTGGATTCAAGTGTGAGAATTGCTGGCATTCAGGAAGACCAAAACATTCAGAAGGTATCAAAAGTACTAGATTTCAAATCAGCTGGAGAATTTTCCTCTCAAGTAGAATGTCTAAAATGCAAAGTTTGCTTCAGAAGGTAATGAGTTCTCTGTCACTAGAGAGGCTCAAGGAGAGTTTGGACATATCTTTCCAGGGATGTTGTAGAGAAGATCAAATCATCATTCAATGACTGGACCACATGGTTTAAAACAGCTGTCTTTCTAAGGTTCTATACTTCTGTGCCTCTCCTCGCTCTCTGTCATCTGGCAAAGCCCAGAAAAATAAATGAGTGTGAGAAATAACTGCCTTTCCAGAGGTGACACTTGGGTTGCTTGGCCTTTGCTGCTTATCTTTCCTCTGTGGCATTTCTTCTCTAATCTGCACAGAGCATATGCAATCAGTGAATTTAAGATACAGAATTATTTTCATACAGTGGAAGGAAATGTCAGCATAAATAAGATAGAGTAGGTAGATTTTAAGCTCATAATCTAACATTATTTAATTAGCATGGCAGGAATTTAAAGAATTAAACAGCCTCTTGGAGGATCTCCCTTTTCACCCTCCCCTATTCACTTGGTACCTTTTCTGTATTGCCAGTTCTGAGTGCGGACAACAGAATCCTCTCCAGCTAGTCTAAGGAGAAAGTGGATTTTTAAAAAATGGTATAAGCAGGTATTTTATATAAAATAGAGAAAAATACAAGTTTTTTTTTTTAAAGAAACCTCACCCTCATCACAAGGATGCAATATGTTTGCAGAATATTCTTACTTGTATTAGTTTCCTATAACTGCTATAAAAAATTACCACAAGCATCATGGTTAAAAACCACAGAAATGTATTTGTTCACATTTCTGGAAGCCAGAATTCTGAGCCCAGGGTGTTATGGGGCCATTCTCTTTCTGAAGTTTTCTTTGCCTTTTCCAGCCTCTACTGGATGGCTCCTGGTGGCCCTTGATTTGTGACAGTGTAATTCCAATCTCTGCCTCTGTCTTCACATGGTCTTCTGGCCTTTGTGTCTCCCTGTGTCCTCTTCTTTTCTTTTAAGGATACTAGTCATTGGACTTAGAGTCCTTCCTAAATCCTGAAGGATTTCATCTTAAGATCCTTAGCTAATTAAATCTACAAAGACCATATTTTCAAATAAGGTCACATTCTGAGGTTCTTGATGTACATGAATTTCTTGGGGACAGTGCTCCTCCCATTCCCCTTGCCATAACTAAAATGTGGCTCTATGCCGAGGACCCTGCCTCTCTCTCAAGCGCACCACATTCTTTCATGGCTCCCCCCGCTACTCTTATCTCTTTATTCCCCCATCTCCATGAGAAACACAACCTCTTTTAAGATTTTTATCCTGGATAGCTCATTTCTCCCCTTCCTCATCTGATAAAAGAGAGTTCAAGACTACTTTTAAAACACCAATGACAACATTAGTTACGTGTTATTTATGAGAGTATGGTGGTTTCATCCTGTGTCAATTTCACTAAGCCGGAACACCTTCTGTATGTTTTCAGCCTAAAGTGTGTGGAAATTAAGTAGCAGCCATTATTTTCTGAAGGCTCTGGAGCTTAGACACAGGGAGAGATGAGGCAACAACTGTCCCTACACTTTTCCACCAGCTCTCCTTACATTTCCACTCTGGCAGCCAGATAGGCTATTTCAGGAGACCTGCTTTTTAACTTTTCTCTGAACCTCCAACTTCCTCTTTCAGACCTGGATATTCTCAGCTTCTCCCACAATTATGTAAGGTATTATTCCTGCAGTAAGTTTTTGTCCATTATATTTATAGCAGTTCTGTTTCTCTAACTAAACCCTAATATAAATAGACAACATTTCCTACTAGAATGTAAATTCAATTAGGCAGATTTTTTTTGGTCTTTTTCATTCACTGCTTTGATCCTAGAACACTGTCTAATATATACTAAATAATCCATGTTAATTGAATAAATGAACAGTTAAGAAACAGATTTGAGAAGAAGATGGTGATGCTGTTTTCAAAATGTTGAATTGGGGTTAATTTATATCATCTAAGTGCAGGCATCCTGCATGCAGCTGGTACTCTGGAGAGAGCTGGGGTATAGGTATTGGAACATGAGTCCTCAAGGTAGAGTAGCACCTATGATAATGCATGAGATTTCACTTGGAGAGGAGCCAAAGTGAGGGTAGACCCCTGGGGCATCAACACTTAAACATAAGGGGAAAATGAGGTAAGAGAATGTTAAGGAAACAACAGTAGATGAGATCATTAAGAAGGAGAGAGAGTGTCAACATTTTTAAATGATAATTAAAAGTAGGCAAGTTCTGAAATGCTTTCATTGTATTTGGTAACAAAGGGAACAGAATGACCTTAGCAAGAGCAGTTTTATGATAAAAAGTGAGATAGTAAGTGTTGACAGATCTTTCCAGACAATTGGCACTAAATGGAAAGAAGGAAATAAGGTGGTAAATAAAGACACATAGGGTCAATAAAGTTTTTTTTAAAGATGAAAAGGACAACACTGAAAAACTCATACACACATATTTTTGTGTGTTAGTATGTAATTAATGTAACCTAATGGAACCTAGACAAGTGAACTGAAATCTGTCTCTTACTAGCTGTGAGTTCTTGGTCAAGTTAACAATGACGACACCAACAACAAATCTTTCTATAATTGTTTCTTTATCTGCTAAATGGTTATAGTAGTGGTTTTGTATCATATTCTTTAAAAAGTAAAGAAGATGATATGTAAAGTTCTAACTATTTTGCCAAATAGATAAGATCAATAACTGCTAATTCATGAGTTACTTGCTGTTGCTAAGAAGGGAAAGTGAGTGGAAAGGGAAAGTCAGGCCATTGCAGCAGCTCATGCCTGTAATCCTAGCACTTTGGGAGGCTAAGGTGGGAGGATCACTTGAGGTGAGGAGTTTGAGACCAGCCTGGCCAACATGGTGAAACCCCGTCGCTACTAAAATTTTTAAAAAATTAGTCAGGCATGGTGGCATTCACCTGTAATCCCAGCTACTTGGGAGGCTGAGGCAGGAAAATCGCTTGTACCCAGGAGGTGGAGTTTGCAGTGAGCCAAGATCGTGCCACTGCACTCCAGCCTGGGTAACAGAGTGAGACTCTGTATTTAAAAAAAAAATCAAAAAGAAAAAACAAAAATGGAAAGGAGAAGTCAATTGCAGAGGAAGTAAAGGGAAGGGCCTTTGGGAAGAAAGACCCCTAAAAAGTTTGGAAGTTAAGAGATTCAAGGCGAAGCGTGTGGCAATTCACCTTAGAAAGGAATGGTTTTCTATCAAGGTGAGAGGGAGGAAGGGAAAGAGTTAGGATCCTAATAAATTTAAGGAGTACAGGTAATCAAAATGAGGGAATTTCTGCCTTATCAATGAACTCTATTTTAGAAGCAAGATCAGAGGCCTGACCACTGTGAGTTAAGGAAAGAGCCAGAATGAAGTAGGGTACTTGAAAAGAGTAGCACTCATTTTAAATAGCAGTTGTGGGGAATAAAGAGAACTGTGTAGGGACAGATCAAAGGCTGACCAGGCAAGGTCATGGACCCAATTTGAGATGAGGAACAATCTTGGTAATAGTGATCCCATGGAGTTATAGACTTTCTCTGGCTGCCATTTAGCAGCTTGGGTTTCCAAATGGAGAATGTTGTAGTGGATTGGTCAGCCATGGGGATTTTGCTGGGCAAGGAATTAAGGAAGCTGAGGACACTAGCAAGAAAGTATCCAAAGCCATGAATCTTAAGCATAGTCAGCAGAGAGAGTGCTGAAGTCATGAAGGGGCTGATGTTTGAGAGTCCTGGGGCCAGAAGAACAAGTGTGGTAGAATATGTGGAAGAACCGATGCTTGTGTTGAAGGCATGAATTTTCTGAAGTTAAGGAGAAATTCTCTCCTGGTGCTCCATTTTCTCCAGAGTTGTATTCTCCAGTCTTCAAGGGTATTTCTTATCCAGCACCAAAGTATCTGGAGTCTCTTCTGGACATGGGTTATTGGTCCACATTTATTACAGCTGTATCATCTAAGTGACAGTTGTCATGGACCACCTCTCTGTTGGTTTCCACCAAGAGTCTGGGCACTCTCAGCCTAAAATCAAGGCTCCCTGGCCATTAATTTCAGTATTCTTCCACATTCTAAGAGTGGCAGGGGAAAAATGTGCAGATGCCCTCTTCCCTTGGGACCCCCAAACTTCTTTCTCCCTTGCCCCAATCCCATAATATCTCCAGGGATTTCTTTTCATTCTGAGGTAAATATTTCTTCTCAAACCATACTCTCTCAGTAGGCTTAGGCTTATAAACCAAAAATAAGATTATAAGATCCCCCAATCATCTGAATGGACCCCTTCTCTCAGCCAAGGGCATTCCAAAGTTAACCTGAAAAACTAGTTCAGGCCATGATGGGGAGGGGAAAGTCAAACATGCCTCATAATACTTTTCTCCCTTTTGGAATTCTGGAAAAACCAGCATTAATTTCAATACAGACCTTAAGTCTGATAAGAAACATTTACGATATATCATCACGGAAGCCTGCTACCTGGGGGTTTCAGCTACATAATAAAACTTTGGTATCCACAGACCCCTTATTATAACTGAGACATGCCTTCCTATTGATAACAACTCTTTCAACCAATTGCTAATCAGAAAATTTTTAAACCTACCTATGACCTGGGAGCCTCCTGCTTCAAGTTGTCTCACTCTTCTAGATCAAACCAATATAAATGTTACATATATTGATTGATGTATTGTGTCTTCCTAAAATGTATAAAAGCAAGCTGAACCCTGGCTACCACCTTGGGCACATGTTGCCATGGCCTCTGAGGCTGTGTCATGGGCAAAATAAACTTTCTAAGTTGACTGAGATCTGTCTCAGATACTTTTGGGTTCACAGGCTGCAGACAACAAAAGCTAGGGAGCCAGCCACACACCTCACAGGGGCAAGGAATTATCTGTTGTCTACATCAACTAGGGAAGAAGAAAGGGGGAAATAGAGGAAGAAACATTAGTTTGAATCTCAAAAGAAAATACCCTTACACAATTTGTTAAAGGATATGCTTGGTTCATATACTATACTACATGGGAAAAAGATATACGTACATGACCCAAGAGAATGAAAATATTCATTTATTTGCAGAAAGGATGATGTCATTTGTATGTAGAAAATCATCCCTCAAAATGGTAAGTTGCTGAAAGAGGAGTGGTTGTGCTAGAATCATCACAGATGACTCTTTTATCCTATTTCTCAGTTTTAGGGGAAAAGACTACAAAACTATAGGTATTGTGCTGATAGTAAAAAAAAAAAAAACTTCATTTGTTCACAGGTTAATCAAACTTTGGAGAAGACATCACATGCCAAATCTTATCACAGGATGCTTTAGAGAGATTATCTATTTTAAATTTTATTGGAATTTTGATGACATCAAGCTGTTATTGCTTGGACCACAGAGGTGCCGGTTATCTAAAGATTTCTGCAAAAATGCCATGCCTTCTCAAATAAGGCAAGTCATCTCAAAAATATCTCTTNAGGTGCCGGTTATCTAAAGATTTCTGCAAAAATGCCATGCCTTCTCAAATAAGGCAAGTCATCTCAAAAATATTTTTTATTTCTTTCATCATGTTATAGAGAATTTTAGTGGTATTCTAAGACTCGAAGCCTCCCCAAAGAACAAAATCAAGCTTTTATGCATCAGTGGAAACCAGAAATTACTAGCAGTGTACACAGTGGCTATGGCCAGAGATTACTCTTTCATCTGGTTCAACCCCTAGAGACACAAAGTCTCATCCTGTTCACACCCAAATCCCCCTTCTTCCCCAAACACACAGTCACCACATGCATTCTCTGACGAGATTGAGTAATATTTCATCAGTTCTCCCTAGCCATTCAGTTCAGGTTTTAATATAGCTGGAATATCTTGGGTAGCTTTATAAAGATGTAAACCTTATAATCAAGGCTTAGTTCAAAATTTAAGTTGTTCCAGCTGTCAACTGAAATACAACTGTATAAAATCAAACTTTCCTTTTCAAAGTTCTCAATGTTAAAATCTCCCCCTGGTGGATTTTCAGAGCATGTGTTTTTCACAAGTAAAATTGAATAGTTTTTTTTTTTTTTTTTTTTTTTTAAATAAAGATGCCAAAAAATTCATACCTGTGAAAAATAAGACCGATTAATATCAAAGTTCAGAGGAGAAAAATGCAATTATTAAAAATCTTGACATCGAAAAACATTTCTAAAACTAAAGTAGAATAGTTTTCTAGTCTTATATGCAAGTGTGAATATTTTTACAAGTTTTTCTTGTATGTCATTATCCTCTATTAAGTTAAGGGATTTTAATGGACTAAACATGCTAATTTCCTACTTAATTGTTTAGTGAAGAGAGGCATAATGTTTCAATTAGGAAGGAATGTTCCCCCAAATGACTGAATCTGCCATCTGTGTATTCTCATCTCTGTTAAAACTGTCAGTCAAATCAACAAAAGTCGAAGCACAAAGCCCCTAAACCACTTGAAATGTGCACATACTTGCTCTAGGGAAGGGGAATTTTGATTTTGTTTCAGCAGCAATCCCTCTCCCTTTCCTGGGAATACATTTTGGCTGGGGTTTTGTGGCATCAATACAAATCACTTCAAAGCAGCTATTGCTGCCTTATCCTCTACCTAGTGACATTGCTGACCCACCACTTGGATACCCATTTTCCTGAGGTAGAGCAAAGGTGAGGCATGACAAGATCACAGGAATGGAGTAGGTAAAAACTACAGAGATATCCTCATGCAGAAGATAGGCTGCCTGCAGTGATCCTCACATGTTTAGAACTAGAAATGGTGGTCAGTTGTTAAGAAAAAAATGTATTTTCTTTGGTACCAAAATACCAATGGCTCATGAATCTTAATATTTTTATTATAATATTTTGTTAAGGTTGAATTTTTTCAAAACATGTCACTACAAATTTCTAACGAGAGCTACTTTTAAATAATTAGGCAACATGAATAGAGGAGAAGACTGAGGCAATTGTTGGAAAGCAAAAAACACCAACATGTCTTAAGTTTGCTATTTATGTAATTTCATTGTCTCAAAACCATCCTTTAATTGAGCTGACTTTAGTAAGAGATAAGACCACAGCAGTGTGGCACAATGTTTAGGAGCACAGGCCTTGGGATAGATAGCTAGAGTCAAATTCAAGCTCTGTTTTTAGCTGTGTGACTTTGAGCCAGTTATTTAACCTCTCTGTGCCTTGGCTTCTTCATGTGCAAATTGAGAGTAGTAAATAGAAACTTCCTCATAGTGTAGTTGAAAGGGTTAACTATGCTGAAACTGTACATGGAAAGTACTTAGTACACACAGATCCCACAGCTTTTTTGTTCACTTTCAGACATTAACAGTCTCATTTTCAGACATTATTTTAAAAATCCTTTTTAAATTGAAACTTTCATTTCTCATTGAACTTAAAGCTCTTTGTCCCTGTACCATCTCCAGCACGACCTGTGCTTGGATCCTGCAGCAGGGAAGAGGGAGGTGGTTGGTTTTTTATGATGTCTTTGCAGTATTTTTTCACTCCCCCCCCCCACTCCTTTCTCTGCCTTTGGTTCCGACAGGGCAGAAGGAAGATCATCTGGAGACAGCCAGATTCTTCCTTGAGCAGTGCAGTTATAACTGTGCACTGTGCCCTTTGTGAGTGCTTCTTTCTCTTTTGAACTTCTTCAGTGGGTTCTTCAGCATCGCCCACCCTGTTGCTGGGGCCCATTGTGCCCTTGCATGGCACACTCAATATCCTCTGCCAGCTTGCTGGCAGCTCCTACTTGTTGTGCTTCACAAACTTCCCATTGTGGGTCCTCTCACCCTGGGGTGGAGCAGGCCCGTCACGGGACTCCCACATGCTTGCCTGCCGTGCTGTCTATGCCAGTGCTTAAGAAACATCACCTCTGCTCCACTTTCAGTTGGAACCAGCTTTTTCCACCCCCACCCACAGCCTTTTCTCTTTGCTCTGCTACCTGAAGCAATTCCACTGGGCCTCTTTCTCACCTTTAAGTTTCCCAATAAGAATCAGGCATGAGCCTCTGTGTCTTGTCAAATGTTCAGGGATACTACCAAGTTTTCTGAGTGCAAGCCTCCACAGTTTACTGATGGGGTAAGCATCCGCTTTCCACCTTCTGTGGAAGAAAAATACACAGCACTCTGAGAACTGTCTCTGAGGAATTAATCACTATCAATCTTCCTTTCCATTCTCATATATGGAGGTAGGCAATGGGCTAAGAGGGTGAACTAGAACCTCTCTTTAGAAAGTCAATACATTTTCCAACTGCAGTTATCAGGTTGGGAGCCTGAGGCCTCATTGGAAATTGAGATAAAAAATAAAAATTAAGTCAAACTTAGACTGGGCCTATGTAACATTTAGGCATTTGGGCTATTTGAGTCAATGATTGATTAGTCATACTAATCAATTTCAGTGATTAGTATGAATCCTTACCATGTGATAGACTAGACTGACTTCAGTATGATGTTAATAAATGCGATTAATACCTGAGAATTATTTTAGCTAAAGGTGTGTCATGTACCAAAACCCTGGTGAATGGAGCATAGCTCACATTGTAGGAATTACGGGATTCACCCGGATAGGCAGGAGGAAAATGAAAGGAGAAGTATCATGCACATAGGAACTAGCAGTGTCTTTCAGACTTAATAGGTAAATGTCAGACCTAATGTATTAAGCTCTTTAAGCAAGAGACCAAAATGGATTTGTCAAGTCTTGGAGCTAATTCAAAGACAGTGTTACATTGTAACTTATACCTTGGAAATAATTTTATAATAGCTAAATATTTACAGAGTGCCTACTACATGCCAGACACTGTTTTAAACACTTTTAATGTATTTAACCCTTTTAACAATCCTACAAATAGATGCGCTATTACTTCTTTTTACAAATGTGGAAAATGAAGCACAGAGAGATGAAACAAGTAGCACAAGGTTAAAGACATGGAAAATAGGAGATTTCAGCCCCGATGTTTGATGCCAGACTACGCTATGCTTTCATAAACATTATCTTGTGATTTATGTTACAAATAAATCACATTATATAGCAATTATAAAGTAATTCCAAAAGGTGGGCATATCAGACTCAAGCATACTCAGTGAATCACTTGGCTATGGGGTGATAGGGGATGCCTAGAAAATAATAGACTATTGTAGCTCCTGTTCCAGTTCCTTTTACCGCCTTCTGCTGGGTATGTTTTGTTTGCTATTTAATTTGCATCACAATATGTTAATTTCAAGAATAAATTTATTATCATTTTTCTAAAAGTAAACATAACTGAGGAGAAAATCAGCAAATGTCACATTAAATATAATTGACACGGCCTAGAGTCCTTTCATTTTTAAGGTATAAAAAGCTTTTATTGCTTTTATCTTACTTAAAATGCAATGCATGCTTATGCTTGAAAAACCAGAGAATCTCTGCAAAAGGGAGAAGAAAGCATTCATAGCCCAACTACCTGATGATAACCACTGTTAATATCTTTAGTAACTGTCCTTCCAAGCCTATGCATATATATGTTCATTTGATGTGTGTGCATGTATTTGCATCATCATTTATGTAACATTTTTATTTTTGACTGGAGAAAGAGCAAAATTTCATTTGGAATGAGAAATGCCAAGGGGAGAGTCAGAAAAGAATAAAGCAAGTGGTGTGGCATCCTCTCTCCATCT